CTGAGCAAATGCACATTTATCTTTTTTCACATACAACTGGTGGTCTTGTAATCTTTGAAGCACTAGGCGCAAGTGTTCTTGGTATTTTTCTAAAGTGGAGTTGTATACCACTATGTCATCCAAATAAATCACCATGAATTTGTCAAGGTAATCGTGGAACACTTGATTCATCAAGGTACAAAATGTGGTAGGAACATTGGTTAATCCAAAAGGCATAACAAGAAATTCAAATACGCCATACCGGATTACACAGGTTGTTTTCGATTCATCTTTCTCTGTAATTCTGACTTGATGATAGCCAGACCTCAGGTCCAATTTGGAAAAAATATTTGGCCTAACTCAGTTGATCAAACAAATCAATAATAAGGGAAATCAGGTATTGTTTCTCACGGTGACCTTATTTAGGGCTTTGTAATCGACACATAGTCATAAGCCTCCATCATGCTTATTCTGAAATAGCACGAGTGCTCCAAAAGGTGCTTTTGATGGCCTAATAAACCCAACCTATAAGAGTTCATCCAATTGTTTCCTTAGTTTGGCTATTTCTGGTGGGGCCATGCGGTATGGGGCCTTAGTAGGGGGTTTAACCCCTAGGAGAAGTTCAATTTTATGGTCAACCGATCTTTGAAAAGGTAAGACCTTAGGCAATTGTTCTGGCATCACATTCTTAAACTTTCCCAACACTTTTTTCACCCCCTTGGGTATTGGATCTAACTTCATCCCATCCTTGTAGATCGACATCGCCACATAAGAGGTCTCCCCTCTCTTTATCCTTTTCTTAAATTGTAGTGCTAAAATTATCTTCTTTCCATTCTTCGGTAAGATTGTGGCTGGCACCACATAGGGTTGCTCCCCTAAGAACAATAGATAACTAGCGACAATGATTGGTATCGCTTGAGCCAACATCATGAAGTTCAATCCTGAGGACAACATCAAAGTCATCCATAGAGGAAACTATGATGTCTACCTTTCTTTTCCATGGCCTCAACTTAGTCATCACATTTTTTAAGCTTTCACTGATTACGAAGGCTAGTGAGTTGATCGCTTTCATTTGCCCTAGTCCTTGTTCACCTTGAGACCACATTTTTTTGCTTTTTTGGGTGTGACGAAGGTATTGGTTGCACCCGTATTGACCATAGCCCTTGTGGTCTTCTCATTGAGTATTAGGTCCACATACATCAAGCCTATACTCGATTTTTTCTTTATCATGTTAAGCTAGGTACGGAGAGTATTTAAGAACTGTATGGAGCCCATCTTGGTCAGTTCCTCTTTAATTTCTTCAACTGTCTTGGGTGCTTTTGAAGAATTTTAGGACGAGGCTCTCAAGGCATTAAGGGCCCCTCTATGCGGGCACTCAGCCACTCGATGCGGCCCATTGCATAGGAAACAAGCTAACGGTTACCTAGGCTTAAAACTTGTTACGTTGTTTGCTCTGGGTTAAGTGTTGTCTCGACCAAAGGGCCTCTTTTTTGATCCTTCACTGAAAGGTCGGTCCACTCTGACCATCTTTTCACCACTCCCAAAGATGGAGTTATTACCACCTAATAGAGGATTTTTTCGTTTTGAGGAGCCATCATTGTAGTCATGAAGGCATTCGACTGCAACCATGGTCGTGGCTTCATCTTGCATCTTTTGCCTATGCAGTTTTGTTCTGGCCTATGGTTTGAAGCCCTCAAGAAAATAAAACATTTTGTCCTTTTTAGACATGTCTCTAATGTCTAACATTAGGGTAGAAAAGCTCCTTACAAACTTTCGCACTGTTCCCGTTTGCACCAACTCTCAAAGCTTCCTTCGGGCCATATACTCTACTTTTTCAGGAAAGAATTGGTTTTTCAATTCCTGCTTGAGGTCCACCTAAGTTTTGATAAGGCATTCATCATTTACAAATTTTGAATGCCACCAAAGCTTGGCATCCCTCGCAAGGTCCATTGATGCCATTATCACCTTGTCTTCCTCTGATTCAGTACGCACGGCTCAAAATTATTACTCCATGTCAAACAGGAAATTCTCAAGCACTTTAGCATCTTTTGCCCCTTCATAGCATCAGGGCTCTCGCAACTTGACCCTTTTTCCTCTTTCCACTGAGCTAGAACTTGATCTAGCCACCGCCACCTGTAAGACGCCCATTTAGGCCCTGAGCTCTTCAAACTCTTTCTAGAGGACATTCAAGGCATCTCTAGCCTCTTCGCTCAAGCTATTTAGAGTATCGGATAACTCTAGTTAGGTTGTCTCGATCTTCCTCAGATGATCGTTAGTAACCATATGAGCTTTCAAAGCGACCATCGCGGCCTCAAGCTCCTCAATTCTCTGTTGATGGTTGACACCATCATTCGTGGCCATTTCTTTAATTCTCTAGCACTTTACATTGTGCTCTGATATCACGTGTCACGGGCTAAGCTTTCTCTCAACAAGCGATAGATCGTGCAGCACTTAAATGGACGCTCCCACCCAAGTCAGCCAACGATAGCTCGATATCTGAATAAGCAACCATAAGTCAAAGTTAATTTCAAGCATACATAAGAAGACATTCATATCGAAAGAACGAAAAACACATCGAGGCAATAATTGAGACGTTCGAATAAAAGACATATGTTATTATTATCGAGAATAGTACATCGAGACTTCACACCATTGTCGGGGCCAGGGGGTAGCCCTTGATGGGTGGCCTACGTTCGTACCCTAACCAGTGAGACAGCCCAACAATATGCTGACTGCTCACCCCCCTAAAGAGCCTAAGAGATTTTAGAGCTATGCTATCACTAACCGTTACAATGTTTGAAATAGGGACATTTTTCCTAGCACAAGAGATCTACCTTCTTCGCTTGGCACCTTTACCCAGTCATGGCCCTATACATGGATGGCTCATGACAACCTAAACCCCGGTCATGAACTTATACAAGGTTGGCTCATGACAACTCACCTGTGGAATTGTCTAGCTCATAGCTTAATACACTATTGGGAATAAAACCTATAAGGAAGTCATAGTTCAAGAACTTCATAAGCAGTTAGTGAATCGTCGCTGCAGGCAGATGAGGACGAGGAGATCACAAAGACAAGAACCAAAGGGCGAAATGCTATTGCTGGTGCTTAATTTGACTGTCTGGTTTGAGTTGAGGCTAGTTGTAGAAAGTATATATGTAGGTGATGTGTGGAATTAATGTATAGGGAGAAAAGAATTGAATATTCCTTTAGCTAAAACCTGCTCATAGCCCATTGAGTTAATGGACATTAATATGCCGATGGATCAAAACATTCCCCAAATCCCAACTTAAGAAACCATTAATTTACTATATTTGAGAGCCATCATATATATGTTATTTTGCCATTCCTAGTCCATATCATTGTTGTGCAGTTTTTCTCTATCTGGTAACAAGGAAATAGTGTAAATTATATATATTTTTGGTTCTGATCTCTTCTTTTTTGCTGGTCTTATTCAAAATTTCTGCCAGCCTACATGTGATTTATGTTTACCTGAATCTGTAACACAATTTCAACATCCAAACAATACTAAAAGCATTGATCAAACATAAAAAAGATGGGCAAGCTTTTTCTTTAAAAAAAAATAAAATCCCGAAGCACCTCTGTTTACTATCTACTATTTTATTTGGATAAAATATAGTAATATTATTGTTTTTTTAACTTAAAGTCCTTAAGGTTCTTTTTCTTTTCTTTTCCCAGCAATGAAGATGTTCTATGTTTTTCATAGCTTTTGCTTAGAAGAAAAGAGAGAGAGACAAGAATTGATTCCAACAATAAACAAGGTAGTTCATTGCCAACCTTTTCATGGTTTTAAAAATTTTATCAAAAGCATACATATACAACTGATAACATCTCTATAATAGAGATTTCCATCACTATAATAAAGATTTCTTACGAAGATGAAAATTTAAAATATATTAGAATTAGTAATTCAAATTTTAAAAGATTTGAATAAAAAATAATTTGTGATTTCTTTTAGATTGATTATATATTATTTAATAGATAAAAAAACTTGTAGGAGAGGATTTTAAAAAGAAATAAATTTTGGATTGACAAGTTAGTATGCTTATAAATATTAGAAGATTCAATAAGATTAAATATAAGAAAAAAAATATAAAGGGAGTTGTAGATTTTATTATTTAGTTACCTCATAGGATTATAACAAATTGAAATGTTTCATATGGTGTGTTTATTGAAGTTTGGTGTATTTGTATTGTGTAAAATATTGATAATATATGTTGTGTTTTATATAAAAATTACGTGTTACAATTTGTGAGGACACGAAAATATAAAATATATTTTTTTTATTCTATTAACATATGTAATTTTCGTTAAAATTTTAAATCGTTTCATCTTTGTATATTTTATTCGTATCGTTTTTAATGACGTATTATTTTATCGTGCTTTAAATTATCAGATTTTTTTCTATAAGATTAAAGAAAAATGTCCATGACTATTTTTTATAAATAGACCAGAGAAAAATAAGAGGATTTATATGAATATAATTGAATATTTAATTTGAAATTGTTAGAGATTAATTTTAGATTATTAAAAATCAGTTTGGTATAATTAGAAATCAATTTAGCATTGAAGTTACATGTTTATAATTTTGTATAGCTAGTAGATTTTTTCTTTTATCTGTAACGATAGATAAATTAAGTACCGTATAATATTAAATTATTATTTCTGATTAATTTATATTTTGATTGTTTAATTGACTGAGAGCCTTTAGCCTTTCAAAACATGCCGTAAGCTTACTATTCTTACTAATCATCTAGAGATCAGTACCCACCTAAACTTAAGAGTGAAGACGCGAAAGCACTCAACTGATTACAGTTAAATCCGTACCCACGCTGAGGAGACTTAAAAAAGTTATCAGTAGGAAAGTTAGCCGACGCAATCCCAACGGAGAATTCTATCTCCTTCGAATCATGGATCAGTTCAACGATGTGAAGCTAGAAGAATAGAATCTTAACGCTGACACCCCTCAATTTTTTATCCTGCCAGGGGACATCACTGCTTGTATGCTGGTCTTGTAACTCAGTTGCAGCTTCCGTTCAAAATAAGCTGAGAACTCACCCAACTACGCCATTGGGAAGGATTCCTGCTGGGAATCGTAGTGCTGAAGAACTTAGTATATCGGATTAGGCTTCCAATATCAGAGAAAGGATGTTTTACCATCTACAACCGTCAAACGATTTCGTTATGCTCCTTTCCGGTGAAGATCCCGGACTTTTCTTATAATATTAATTAATCTTAAAAAATTGGTTGCCTAAAGCCAAAAATTAAACCCGTTAGATGAACAATGGCATAAACGGATATGATTCAGCCTATGCATGCTTGCGTCTATACAAACGCACCGTGCATTTGTTAAGCAGACGGTGACCTCTCAAAAATACCACCAATTAATTGCACAGTCGACTCACGAATTCGAAACAGACAAAAACAGAAACTTGGGTGTGGGTGCAACCACTTATTAACTTTATTAGGTGTTTTGACTAAAAAAAGAAAGGAAAATAAATGAACTTCAGTGGGAGTAGAAAGATCAAATGTTTCCCTTTTCGTTGCAAACATAAAGCAGGAACAGCGGCTACTCGGATGATAGAGTTGAGTAGTTTAGATCCCAAGTTTCCCAGCCCGAAATTAGATTCTTTTAGATGACATTAGATAAGAAAGAGAGTTCATATTTTATACCCTGCAAAGCAATTATTTGTAACCATTTAATCCGTGCCAAAGGGATATTCATAATCATGGAGATGCAAACGCTTGGAAAAGTTGGGTACTGGTATAGCACATATCTGGAAGCAAAATCTCGAGGCAACGTTCAACATGATTATAAACAATTTATGTTCTGGGCTCCATTGATAGATGTTCAACATGACTATAAACAATTTATCTTCCATTGCTCTCAAATATAATCAATACCTTAACCAACCATCTATAATGTAAAACAAAGATACTAACCCCTGAAATAAAAAATGAAATTTATACATAAATGTATATACATATGTCTGTGTCCATAAATCAAGCATTGCCCCAATCCTGTAGGCTGGCATCCCAATCGAAAAAAAGGCAAGCAAGCAATGAATATAGCTTTTTACTTATAGCAAAGGGTGTTAATGCAATTGGTAAGAATAAATTCCCTCACGGCGAAAAATGAATTTACTAAACTGATGGTATGCATATAAATGATACATACAAACAAAATTTTCAATTCACATCTATTAATTTAATACAACCAGAAAAAGCCAACAACTGGGCCTTCTATAAAGCAAATAAAATAGCAAAGAACTACTAAGAAATAATGGCTATTGCAGTCAACAAAGATAAAAGGCAAAAGAACATAGATATACATACCGCTCCTTGTGAAATCAGCTCACATCCTTGAGTCTTTTTATCAATGCATCCAAAGATTTCTTCTTTGGATTCTGCTTGGCACCCCTGCTCCCAAAGGTTCCAAATAGCCGATCTGAAGGATCCCTTAACTTCTCTGAGATTGTCATAACTTTCCTGTGGTCCAGGGTATTGTAACTCCTCTCTCTGATTACTGCATTCAGAAAATTCTCTGGATGATTGCTCATAAGCAAATTGATCAACTGCCTTGACTCTGCAAGTGCATTTTTCAACTGATTTGCATCCCCTTCAGAAAACAGAGGAGCTAGGTTATCTGCAAAAGATTCTAACAACCGAATATCTACATCAATCCCCATAATAGCATTTACATTAAACCTTTTAACAGAATCCCCAAGCAAAGCCCCAACAATCTCCTCTGATATATGAGAAAGAACATCTTGTAAAACTCTTTTAAGAACTTGAGATGGCAGTATCTGTTGTGCAGTAGAAACCAGAGTTTCCAAATATATTATGACCTCATTCACATATTCATTACCACCCTGTGAAGGTTCATCGGTCATCCAGTTCACATTCTCAATCAATGTCATGAAACCATCAACCTTTGTCTTAAGCATCCCAGACAGCATCTCTTCTGCAGCATCACGGGCTTTGTTAAGAGGAAACTGCCTCCTACCCCTTTCTGCCATTCTCAAAGGAATGCCTGAAAGCTGTGCAGCATGACGAAAGAAGAAATCACAAGCACGCTCCAAAACAGCCATATTTGCTGCAACCTGCATTGCCTGAGAAACCCCATGGACAGATAAACTAATAAGCTTCAAAAGAGCCTCATCCAAAACCTCACTCAAAAGCCGGTCCAAATACTTCTTAACAACATCATAGAAATCCAACTGCCCACCATAAGACATAAAACTAACAGAATCCTCAATAAAAGATCTCACAATCCGACAACAATCAGGCACAGTTGATGAAAATGGCGCAACATAAGGAAACGCTGGAATAATATCTGATGTTTGTATCTGGAAAGACAGAACATTCATCGAATACTCATACTCCTTCTTCATCAACATCTGCTCAAATTTGTCAGCAGCAAGCACTTCAGCAATCTGCTTCCGACAATCAGACAACAACAACTCATGGTACTTATCCCTATGCTTACTCAAAACATCAAGCAATGCATCAACAGGGTACCCATACCTACGCAAAGTTACTCCTAACAAGCTCACATAATCCTTAATCAGTAACAAGTGATTAGCAGTCTGCATTCTAGAAAACTGATCCTCTAAAACCGAGCACATTTTACTAACAGCAGTATCCCACAAATTCTCAACTTCCATTTTCGAAATTAAACCCCCTCCTGTCCTTAAAACTCGATCTTCAACGATAAAGAACCCCGCAATTTGGGCAAAAAATGTTTGATGAGATTCAAGAAAAGGAGTCATAGAGGATACTTGAAAATCCGACGTTAACTGAAGCTTCCTATTCTCAAAGTAATACTGCTTAAATCGATCTTCGAGTCCTAAAGTTTGATGGATATGATAAGCTCTATAAAGAGGAGTCAAATCAAAGCCTAGCAAGCCGCTATTACCGTTATAACCATCATTCTCGTCTCCTCCGAGTCCTCCTTCATCATCATTTTCTTCTAAAGCGTAAACGCAATCTCTCAAGCTGAGTCGACTCTGCTCCTCGGCTTGCCTTTGCTTGATTCTCAGATCCTCTTCGCGTTGCCTAGCAGCCGAGGCTTGTCCGATCGCTAATTGCCCTAAATTGCGACTCACCACGCGAATCTCCACGAGCCAATTGCCGAACTCTTTGCTGATTTTTCTCTCGATATAAGATCGAATCTCTGGCATCTTCCTCTCTAGCATCCTTTTTAAAGTAGACGATGGCGTTTTGTCTTGGAATTCGTTTTCGATCAAGTCTAAGCACTTCAATGCCATGTAGAAACTGCCGTTTGAGAGATGATGATTTGCTCTCGAGCAAAGCTCCATTAGCTTAATACACGAAGTCACCGATTGCAAAGCGAATTCGACGTTCTTGGAAATGTTTTGTGCTTCGACAAAGGAGTCAAGGGAAGAAAGCAGAGGACCGGCGACGGATTGGAGTCTTGAGTTGGAATCAGAGAGAGAGGATTTGAGAGAATCGACGTCGGAGAGAAGAGATCGAAGATCGTCGACAGCGAGGATGAAATCTTGGTAGTGAGCTTTACAAACTTCTTCGATTTCGGATTCTTTAGATCGAGCAAAGTGACGAAGGTGGTGGAGGAGGGTTTCAGGCCTACCAGAAGTGAACGCTTTGCGGATGAAAGGACCGAGGTCCTCGCAGTTACAGATGGCTGAAGAAAGGAGGAGTTGTTCCAACTTGTCGCCGGAGTCGCCACCATCGGCGGCAGCTGGAGCCACTTTGCGGCGTGACCTCGTTGACTGCATTTCTTTTAACGGTAACGGTGAAGGCGCCGTGATTTAATAGAAAGAAAATGCGTGGTTGGAGAATCGGAGATCTTTTGGACAGATAAAAAGGTATTATGATATGTTCTTCCGTTATTTTTAGTTTGACGAAGATGACACTACGGTGATGGGAAATTCTATGGGCTGGTTAGTAATCTGATAAAAAGAGGCAACTGAAGACTTGTTTGACTTTTCAATTATGGTAAATTCGACAGCGTGGCGGCCGGAGAGATGTCTAGAAAGAAAGGTTAAAAAAAAAAAACCATTGGATTTGACACAGCTGACAATAATTCTTTCAAGGCAAGCGAGGCAGTGACATCGTTCGGAAGGTTGATCTAAAATTTAGGTTATTTTCATTTTATGGTACCACTAATGAAATTTATGTTTTATTCCTCCTAATTAAAAAAAAATTAAGGGTTTTTTTTCTTTTTTCTTTTTCTTTTTATAAATCTTAACCATAAAAAATTTGACAAGTAATTGTGTTCTTTTTTTCCATAATTACAATTCATTGCTAAAAGAATAAAACACTACTATAGACTGATAATTGATTAAATATTATAAATTTTTTTATTTAAAAATCTTATCAAATTCATGATGGATACAGAAAACTAATGGTTGCATTTAGATTACTGATTTAACGTATGATTAAAACACTACTATAGACTGATAATTGATTAAATATTATAAATTTTTTCATTTAAAAATCTTATCAAATTCATGATGGATACAGAAAACTAATGGTTGCATTTAGATTACTGATTTAACGGATGATTTGGAGCTTTAATTGCCATCTAACGATGTTTGGATCTCATGGTTGATTCATCTCTAATCACACTGGAGCCTTTGATCACCATTTGAGCTTAAGGGTTCAGTTGAAAATTAGCTTCTCCATCGCAACCCTTGTTTCCCTTTATGCCATCCTTCTTTTTTGCCCTTCAATAAATAGTGTAAAGATAAGAATATCCTTTATCATTTATAGTCTTTTTATGCCCTTACCATTGTTTTTAAAATAGTTTTAAATACATCATTCAAATTTTTTTTTTACACCCCAATGTCTTTTTTTTTTTTAAATCCATATATAAAATATCAAATTTATCTTTTAATAAATTATAATTTTACCCTTTTACACCCCATTTACACTTCTTTTCTCTTTTTCTTTTTTTTTTTTCTTCTTTTTCTTTCTTTTTCATATCCTAAACCCTAAATCTTTGAAACAAACCACCAAAATTTGAAGCCTTTGTTAAATCCAGTAAAAATGGATAGGGAAATGAGAAACAATACTAGGGAAGATGAGCTCAACGAGGTAATTCATTTTAAACCCGATTGAACTTGTATTTTTTTGTTTACTAAAACAAATTTTTAGTAAATATAAAAACTGTTAGTAATAGCACTATTATTTTCACTTCGTTATGGTTTGTTATAATTTTTTAACATATTGTAATATGTAAATCAATTTGAAAACTGCACTGACAGAGTGGAATAAGTTATTAAAAACTTTAGACACCAGATACGATTGCATAGATTCATTTATTATGAAAGAGGTAAGATTAGAGTTAATTTGTTATGAAAGACATAAAATGCTAGTTTGTAAAGACATAATAAGTTAAATATGTTGTGCATGTCTTTTGTAGTAAAGAAGTTTTGACTTTATGGGTTGGACATGTTGGAAAATATATTGGTTTTGTGATTGTAATTAAAAATTTTGATTTAGGAGGCCCAAAGAAATTTAGAATAAGATTATCATGTGAACAAAGTAGAAAATATAGGTATCAAAAAAATAAAAACAATATAAAAGAAATGCTATGTAAGAGAACAAGAACGAAAAAATATAGTTGCCCATTTAAGTTACATGGGATTAAGTTAGCAATAGATGATCAGTGAGGCATGAAAGTAGTTTGTGAATTTTATAATCATCTACTAGTAAAACAATTAGAGCAACATTTATTTATAGGTTGATTAACTAAAAAATAAAAGAGAATAGTTGCTAATATCTCAGACAGTATGGTTAGACATAAAAATATACTATTGATACTGTTGACCATATAACAAATAAATATGATTTATGTTGCATTTTAAAGATTATTTATGGTTTATGGTTTCATAACAAATATTAATATACTTTTATTAATTCATTCAGGGCTGAGAGTACACATTTAAAATTAAAAAGGCACCTTAAATCATCTTAACAGGATTTCGAATCATCATGGAAGATAATCAACTCGTTTATTGAGCTCTAATATATATAGATCAAGACTTTATTTGAACGAAGTCTTACAGTTGTGGAGCATAATTTCAAGTCTTCATTGTTTAAAGAGATGCAAGATTTGATATCTAGAAGCGCACTGAATATGATATTGATGGAAGCCAAGCGAGCTAATTATGTTGGAATCGATGCAAATGCTTGTGGTTGCGTGATTAGAAGTAAGCATGGATTTTCTTTGTGCTAATGAAATTACAAAGTATATAAGGGTGGAAAGTCCAATTTCTTTATCTGAAGTGCATCCATATTGGAAGAAGTTGGAAGTAATAAAAGGGCTAAGATAATGGTATATTTGAAGAGTTAACCATCTAGTCCAAGGTTGATTGAATCATAAAACGCTTCAACGAATATGATGAGTTGGGTAAATTGATCATAAAAAGAAAGTTGTGAGAACTTGGTGATTTGTCAATAACTACCTTGATTCCACGCTTAGAAATGCCTAAGATAAAAGGTCTCAGAGGTATAAAAATAGATACTTTTACATGATGTGACCCATCAAACTGGTGATTGTGTTATCTGTTTAGGATAGTACATCACCATCAATTACTGTAAACTTAGTGAAAGTGATGACACAAATCACTAAACTTCCTATTTAGTGTCTTCATGGTAAATGAAAAATGCGATATTTAAATAGTTTACCAATGAGTTACATCTGTATGTACAAAGCATTGTTGATGTTGAGGTAGATAAACATTATAGTTTCGTTCTATTGCTGAGTTGCTTAGATTGAGATTAGATGGTTGGGTACAGGTGCAACAAGACTTAATTAAGGAGCTTAATTGATTTTGAGACAAATATGTGATTTTAAGTGGATTCATGATGCATGTTAAAGAATTCTTAAAAACCTTATCATGTTTCGACACTTCTGCCCTATATGATAAGTGGATGACCCTACTTGATATGGGTCATTTAATTACTTCATGATATAATATCATGTTAGTCATATTAGTTTAAGATAATGCCTGACATATTTCTCTATTAGATCTGTACTCCCTGCACTATTGGAGCACAGAGTCATTATAATTAAATTTGTTAATGATTGTCATTTTATGCAAGTACTGCTAATTAGTGTTGACATTTTTTGTTTATATTTACTGTTCTTATTTTATGTAGGTGTTAATGACATTATATTTATTGTTCTTATTTTATGCCGGTGTTAATGAAACTTTTTGCATTGATATCTCCAATTGCCTTTCAACTAGCATAGGATTTGTTATAATTGTACTCGAAGGTAGAAGATTTCATATGTACCTTGCATAGAAGATTTTAAGCTATTGTTTAATACAAATCTTGATATGATCACTCAAGAAATAATACACATTAATTGATTATTTTTTGCAATACTTGTTTAGCAAATTAATGTATATGTTAACAGTTATATTAATATTGTATATATATTGAACATGTTATCTAACGGACAAAAGTTATATTGAACATGTTATCTAATTGGAAGTGTTATATTAAATGGGTAATTTAATGGATGTTTTATAAATACAACATAATCTAATGGATGTTTATAAACATACTTAACTAAATAAAAATAATACATTCCTAAATTCACAGTATCAATACATCAATCCTCTATTTTGACCTATTGAATTAAATATATACATGCCGTGGATGAGTAGGTTTTGTTGTCATCATTGCAGTTGAAGTGAGATTCTTTGGCAAGGCAAATACTATTTTCGATGCAATGAGAAGAGTTTGCAAGCAAGACTGATACTGTCATTACTACTAAGGGTGGGGATGAAGTGGACATGAATGGTGTAGGTGGTGCAGGTGTCAATGAGATTGGGATGAAGTGGGCATGGACAGCTTGGGTGGTGCATGTATTGATGTTGATGGTCTAGGTGGTCTCATGCTTGAAATGATGATTTAAGAGTTGATGTATGATGCATTACTACTAGTCTAGATTAACTATTACTGTTTGTTGCAGTTAATGACCTAGATAATATAACATGTACTCTAATAACTATATCTTTCCATACTTCGACAATCTCTCTAGTCCACTGGACAACACATGCTTAAGAACAAAAAAATGATTAAGTTCGGTTATAAAATATTAATTAGGTAATCAGTATTAATAACATGTAATAAAAATAAACAACATAATGAATAAAATTATAAAATTTATGACTTACAGAATCACCAATCGGTGCATTATTGATCAAATGAGATTGAAATCTAGATTTACGTTTTAGATTTTGAATTTGACTATGTGAAAATGATGCAAACCAAGCATCATAGTCTAGTGAACACTATCTTGGTCTCTGACATCTTTGGCCTCTATGTTTAGTCGACACAGCATGTGTATCTCATCTTTCTTAATACTGGCATAGGAAGTTATATGTAAAATCATACTTGTTCAACGATGATCCTCGCTCAACTTAGAATGGAGCCAAAGGGGTCAAAAAAATGGTTTGTATAAATTCAAATTATCATAGAACTCTCTTTGAATGATATGACTCTATGATTGCCCTACACTTGATATATCCAGTTGTTATAATATATCAGTTCAAGGATTCGATTACTAGACGTAATCATTTAAAATCGTGAAAACATGAAAAGTCACCACCAATCTTTTTAGTGTGTGATTGGTCACAAAAAAAATTTATCTTTTTAATAAATGGGTTTAAAATTTATTAAAAAGATAATTTTGATCTACAAAAATAAGATTGAATTCGAAAGTTAGTTACGTGTAGGGCAGAATTAACATCATCACAAAGCCCATAAAATTAGTACCAATTTATCATGTGCTATTTATAATTTTGAATAAGAATGATTTTTATATGAAATTTAATTATAATTCCCTTTAACTTTTAGAAAGAAAATCAGTTAAAAGTTTTTATTTAGGAATATTATAAAAATCTTCAAATTAAAAAAATATCTCATAATTCTCCAACATATTGACAGAATTCCAAAATATAGCCTTTTCATCTAAGATTGATCGTAACATCCCTTTAAAAATAATAAAATAACACTTTTTATAAGTAATAATCATTGTTAACTCTTTTATATCTAAGTAAAGTACCAATAATTATATTTCACAAAATGTTATTTTAATTTTATTTGTTTAAAACTAATTTTTAAAAAAAAAATTTATG